ACAAAAATAGAAATGTTTAGAGCTCATCAGCACAGGGATCAGGATGTGTGAGTACCAGAGATGTCAGCGCATGTGTTGTAAATATCTAAAGGACTCCACAGAGGAGCAGACTGGAAGGAAGAAATACAATAAGAGACAGAAAAACAATAAATCTTTAAGTGTGTGTTAAAAACTCATTTACATTAGATTAGTATCATGAAAACTAGTCTGAATGCATAGTACAATACAGAGAGCTTAGACTGTACTAATAGGTCTAGTATACACTTATTATGAGAAAAATAGTCTTTATAAGGAAATGCTTTAGAAGGACTATTAGACATGCTTATAGCTGAGGAATGACTGGGCAAGTGAATACGTAACAGGAAATAATTACCTCCTGTCTGTGTGTTTGCCATGAAGGCCAGTAGAACCCGCAAAAACAAAAGAATAAAACAATGAGCATCCTCTCTAAAACAATGAGAGCTCTTTGTCTAAGCTGACAGGTATTTTACCTCATGCAGTAAATGGTAATATATTCATCAGGAAAAAGAGAGAACCCCACACTTTGACTTCCTCTTGTTTGCCTTAGACCACCTCATGCATAATTGATCTGATTTATTTCTCATCTCTTCTGGTCCTTCCAAACATTCAGCCACTTTGCAGCTCTAGATGTCAAATTCTTTGTTAGTATGTCTCATTCTTTTAGTTACAATAAAACATCTCAATGACATTCTCAAATTAAATATTTTGCTCTATTCCCAGGAGTCTAAAGCTCTCAAAGGAAAACAAGAAGCATTGGTCAACAGGACAACAAGATGAAGGCCATCAATCCTCCAGCAGACCAAGGGCAGAGAAGGGGAAAAGGATGAAACTGCAACCCACATGTACGGGGCCATGGCTCCAGGCCTAGGCACATGGCCACACATCATCCCGTTCACTCTCACCACAGCTCTGTGAGATGGGAGCCACCATTTCCATTTCATACTTAAGAAAAAGGGTCTGAATGCAAAGCCTACGTGCTCTCCCTGACACTCTCAGGCTTCCTGGATGTTGAGAGACATAGGGATGTATCTTTAGGCAGAGAGGGAGCTGCAAATATATGCAGAGATGAGTGGAGTCAGTGTGAAGCGGTAGTTATTATCCTCATTTGTTAGATTTATTCCCCCTGGGCAGACTGCAGGAAAGTCAAACATCTAGACCTTTCAACAAGCATAAGTCAGTAATTGGTGAATATTTAATCAATAAATATTTCTCCACTGCCCCCAGTGTGCCTGATACTATTCTAAGTTCTATGAACACAAGGAGGAGAAAAGTGTGGTCCCAATATCAAACAGCTCCTCATGAGCTTAAGCCCAGGTCTGGCAAGTGGTGGGAGAGCTTCTGCGCTCCCCTGCACCTCCTGGACCCCTCCAAACCCAGCCCAGGCCCCACCTGTGACTGAGAACTTCCGCTGTGCCTCAAGACCCAGCCCAAGCCCAGGTCTGGCTAGTGCGTGGAAGAGCTTCCACACTTCCCTTTTCCTGCTGGATCCCTCCGGACCCAGCCCAGGCCCACTTGTAAGTGAGTCCATCTGTCCTGCTCTCTGGACCTCTCCAGACACAGCCCACATCTGGCATACAGGCCTAAGATGAAACCCTGCAGCTGCAATCCCTGCAGAGAGAGTAGGGGACAGAACCACCCAGCGAATCCAGGAGCAGAACACCTTGCCAGAGGGGCACAACAGGTTCACCTCCAAGAGCTACATCAGGAAGAAGTTGAACACAGCATCCAGACCCAAGCCAGGCACAACTGGATGATTTCAAACTTTGTAGATCTGCACCCAAATTTCAGTAGGTGCTAAGGTTATAACTGCACCAAAGCTCTACACCAAAGGTCAGAGGCCAGTGCTATATGAAATGACAAAGAGAAGGAGCGAAATGCAATCTCAGTACCTGAGCCCACCCAGAACAAGTGCAGAAGACACCAGCACAGAAGAAACTGGGAATCACACAGCTGATATGTCTAAATTGATAGCATCTGAAGTAAAGAAACAACTGCAGAAAGGTATAGAAGAACTCAGATCAGAAATAACCGCTGAAATAAAAAAGAAATCTCTGAATTAATAGTGTTGGAAGTAAAGAATCAAATGCAGAAACATACAGAGGAAATCAGATCAGAAATAATCTCTGAAGTAAAAAAAGAAAGGATAACTATAATGAAAGAATAATAACTGCTTCTCAAGAAGACACTGATAAAAAATAGAGATTAGAAAAATGATGGATCCTTCAATGAGCAATAGAGGAAAAAAACAGATAGCATGAAGTGAGTCAAAGAGACACAGAGGAACTTAAAATCTCAATCACAAGCTTGAAAAATTGTTTGAGTGAAAGTGGATAGAGTTTCAGATCTTGAAGATGTCGTCGCAGCTAGTGAAAAGGTAAGAAAAGATCTCTTAAAAGCAGCCCTTCGTGTTGCAATAAAGCCCCATAAGTAAGTCTACACTAGTCAGAGCAGGTTCTATGGGAGAGAGAATCAATTCATAAGGAGTTTCAGTTATGTAGATGAGATCTAATGTTTTGCATGATGACATGATAATAATACTGTACTGTGCTAATGTTTTCTGAAACTAATCTTAAGCTGTTCTTGACACTGAACAAAAACCCAAAATGATAACTGTAAGGTGATGGCCATGTTTGTCAGCTTGATTTTGGTGAGTGACTCACAATGTCTATCCAAACATCATTTGGTGCACTATAAATATACATCATTTTTTTAACTGCTCAACAGTACATCGATAAAGGTGAAAAATAAAAATTAAAGAATCCAAATTCACAAAGGAATGGGTAAGAAGTGAAATTTTAAGCTGTTTGGGAAAAGCTTAGAAAATGCAAATTGTATTGTTTTATTTATAAAGGGAAAGGCTTATTTTTCTTTATATTTCTGATAACTTGTTTTCCATATGATCAGCACTGATTGAAAGGCATATGTAACTGCAAACACTGTGTGTGTGTGTGTGTGTGTGTGTAAATATTTAAATAAAAAGAGGAGTTTGCACCCACACAAAGAAAGGGAAAGCTATTCTGGGGATGGGGATGAGGTCAGGATTAGGCTTTATTTGGAAGATACTATGGAACCACTGTTTTAGGCACAATAATACTAAAACCAACAAAACCCTGGAAAATCCTGCAGCCTTAAGTCATTTCAAAGGTTTTTAGTACCTGAACTCTAAAGCTATTTCAAATTCTCTTAGTCACTTGTTCTAAACTTAACCCAATTCAACTGAGTTTAAAAACCACCAATTTTAGAGGAATAGATGACACCTCTGACGTGTGAGTCACGACAGTAACAGCAGATGAAGTTGGCTTGCATAGGCATAACCAGCACTGCCTAACCTCCAGTCCCCTTTCTCTGTGCCTCTGCCCATAACCATTTACCAAACCCAGTCTTGGAGGGGTGTGTTTGAGAGTTTGAAACTTGTTCTCCTGTCTACATGCTTGAACACCTCTAGTGGAAGAGGACTATCCCTTGTAAAACCTGGTCATTTCCATCATTGCTGTTACTCAGTACCTGGCAAAAAAGGCTGGATTCAGTAACAATGCAAGCAGATTTTCATCTCAAGGTGGTAGCTCTGGGGTGGGGTGATCATAAATGGATTTATGGAAAGTTATGCAAGAAGGCAGGAAGTGTAGGAGACTTCCAAGCATGTACAAGACCTTGGGTTTGTTCCTAACACTGCAAGGAAAGGGGGGCAGGAAGTCTTACAATGAGGAGGTTGCATGAATGAATTCTAATATAAACACTTGAGCTGGGGAAGTAACAATGGAAACGCAGGAAGAAATCAATCTAAGAGATATTTAAGACTCTTGACTGGATGGGACTGAGAGACTGACTGAGCACCAGGGCAGGGGAGGAACTTTAGGATACACTGAACGAGAGCTTCCTGTAGTGGTAATCAGAATTCTGGGCCACAGAATCTGGAGACTGAGCAAACCTTGGCCTACACCTTAGGAGATCTGAGGACAAGGTCACTTAGAAAGCAGATGTTTGGTATGTATACCTCAGGGGCTCTTAAGGGCTTACATCTACAATAACTAAAGAGTCATTGAATATGGGAGGAGGTCCAAATGGCTTTTCCAAGTATCCAGAAATGCTGTCTCAGGAGAAGAAATATGTTTTAAAAACAGGTAAACAATAGAAGGAAGAATGCTTATTTTTATTTTCATCTTTGTTATAGAGTCTTGATATGTAGTTTGGACTCACAGTGAGCCTTTCTTTCTGCCTCCCCAGCACTGAGATTACAGGCTTGAGCCACCACACTCAGTTCTGGGCCTGGGATGGCATGCAGTACTGAGGATCAAACTCGGGACCCTGAGCTTGCCAGGCAGGCACTTATGCCTCTGAGCTACCTTCCCAGCCCAGGAAAAATGTTTAAAATGCACCAGAATCAAAGCATAATCTCAAGACTCAGAAAGGCCGCATACCAAAATAAAAAAGGACTGCAGATGTAGCTCATTGTCAAGGCCCGGGGTTCAATCCCCAGTAGTGCAAACAAAAACATGAACATTATAATTGTTCCCAGCATATACGCACTGAATCCAGTTTCCCTCTTCTTGGAGTCTAAGAGTCACGATAATAGAGATAGGACAAAGGTGAGGGTGGGAAAGCTCCCAACAGTGATCAGAGTGACCTGAATTCTCATCCATAGTCAGAAGAAACTCGGGGTAAATTTTACAGACACTTTAAAATTACAGCTCAGGAATCTTGTCTAACTCAATATAGTTCAGAAGTAAAAGGGTGGGAGCCAGGACCTCACATAGCCTAGGCCAGTGCTCTACCTCTGACACTGTTAAAGCAGGTTTTACATAGGAAGTTTTAGAAGCTGAAGATGTAGCTCAGGGCACAACACTTGCCTAGCAAGTGTGAGGTCCTAGCTTCCATCCTCAACATTGCAAAACAAAAGCCACACCTCCTTTTTCACCAACTTTGCTGGGTAATTAAAACTTGGTGTGATTTATAATTAGAACACAACACAGGTTTCCTACTTCGGTCCTTTCTCTTTAGTGGCACTTTTGCTAAGAACAGTATTTCGTCCCGAAGTAGGCTCTGATTTCAGTTCTGTGGGCCATCCAAATCCAGTACTAAAACGAGAACTATTTTTTTGTTTCATTTTGTCATTAGAGAAAAACCACAACCAATTCCAATCATATGGAAAATAACAATAGTGTTACATTTGTGAGTCATTTCATAATTTCTAAAGCCCTTCCACTTCCACTAGGATTTAATTCCTTTTGCCACTAGGAAGCAGGAGGTCAGACGCTGCTTCATCTACAGCGGAGGAACCAATTCTGCTCACAGATGCGCAGTCATGGGGACCAACATCACCGCAGAGCCACAGCAACAGGAGAGTCTGAAACCCACACTGACCTGCCCCTTTTCCAGAAATCCTTGCTACAACAATTTAAAAAGCAATTGCATGACTAGCACAAGAAGAAGAATCAAGTTGCCAAAATCTAGAACCCAAAATATGTATTCACTGGCAAAATAAGGGGAGGGTTATTTGCATATAGATAAAACATTTTCTTACTTGGGCTTTTCTTTACTTGCTCTTCTTAATGAAGATGAAGAAGAAATACTTCGCCCATAACTCATGTCTGATGATTTATCTTCCATAGACAGAGAACTAAAGTCTGATGATTTATCTTCTGTAGACAGAGAACTAAAGTCTGACGATTCATCTTCCATAGACAGAGAACTAAAACGTTATACATTCAAAATTATGCACAAATTAAAATTCACTCATCGATATTGGCTTTGTACTCTAAAACAATTTCCTGCAGAAAGTCATATTTGGAGCAGACTTTAACAGTGACATTCAATTTTAAAAGGTTAAAGAAGAGGTTAAAGATAAAAGGAATACTGTCACAAAGATTTTCACAAGCTAGGACAGGAGATAATTGTATAAAATGTAATATGTAGATATTATACAGATATAGAGATATGTAGAATCACTTTCCAGGATACTGAAACTTTAATTTGTAGCCCTACTATTTATTTCTTTCAAAGAAAAATGGTGGGTGGTAGTTATATTCCAGCACATGGATCTGCAGATGAGTGGACATCATTCATCTCTGTCTGCTCCTTCCTACACTTCAGTTACTCCAAGGTGACAGTCCTAGCTTCAGAAATCTACTGGCATATTTTCAGGGAGCCAAAGGGAAAGAGACTACAATTGAACTTGTGGTGGTAGTTATTCCATCGTTATTCTAGGAGCTTGTATCAGGGCTAGAAGTGTGTGTACTGTGTTTTCACAGTGTTGTTAGATACAGTAAAAAAGAGAGATACACATCGACAAACACACAAACAAAAATATGCTTCCCCAATCTGCCCACCTTGGCAAAAAAAAACTCACGCATCAGCAGATTTGTTGTTGATTAAGAGAACAGCACGTCGATGACCAGGTTCTTGCAAGCACAGCTCCTTCAGTGGCAAAAGTTTGGTGCCAGGATTTATCTGAAAGATAATGTAAAGACCCAATGCAGAAACCTTTTTGCTAGAAATGAGTTCTGATGGAATGTGCTCTCAACAGTTGACGAGTCTAATTCACTTACATGTGCACAACACACACATATAAAATTAGAACTAGCAAAGTGAAGTTGTGGACATTCTTGCTTTTGAGCAGAACACATCCCTCCAGTTCCCCACAACCTTTATTGCGTTCACCTCACCTGTTTCACACCAAAGTTACCTTTGCTTCTGAACTGTTTGAGTTTGCAAATCTGTTTATACACTTTAGAGAGGACTTACCATCTGGAAAAGTAAGTAGTGAACCTGATTATTTAAAGTGCTATGAGGATAACTAAGAGTACGTGGGACAAAGCCCTGCCCTGCCAGTCTGGCAGAAGAGGGTTAGACTGGACAACTTCTGAGATCTCTTTCCAGTTAAGTGATACATCCTTTCCATTGAAGCTACCTTACATGGTGTTTTTAGAAGAACAAGAAGAAATCCTTCTTAAAATAGGACAGATCCCTCAGTCTTCTGCCCAGACCCTGCCACTTTCCCACTTGATTCTGATTAAAGGTCTCTACTTTGTTCTGCCAAGGGTCTTTAAGGATCACACAATTAATCAGTTTGACCTCACCCTGTCCATGAGTTCTAGCTACGCTGGTCCTGCTGCTCCTCAGAGATGGCCAAGCATGTGCACTCTTTCTGGCTTTTGCAGTGCTGGTTGGCTTTGCCTATGGAACTATTCTCAGTGACCCCATGGCTAAGTCATTCACCTTTTCCACGCCTCTACTCAGATGATATACCTTCTGTGAGGTCACCTGATCTTCAGGTTTAAAATGATAAGCATAAAACCCAACACTTCAGGGTTGGCAACATAGCTCAGCAGACTAAGAGCCAGCTTAGGCAAATGCAGAGACCTGGGTTTGATCCCTGGCATCACATGCCATGCAGGCCCCACCTCTGGGTGCACTGAGCTAGCAACCAAGACCAGGTGTGGTGGCGCACACCTGTAATCCCAGTGCTGGGGAGGCTGAAAACAGGAGGACCACTGTGAGTCCGAGCTGCATAGAGAGCCCCTGTACCAAATATATTTTTTTTAAAAAAACCTTCCTGCCACTGCAGGCCCCCTAATTCACCTCTGCCCCTTCATTTTATACCTTTACATCTCTCATTGCTATCATGTGAACTTATTTACAATGTTTGCTGGTCATTGTAGTGAGGTGTTGTTTTAAAATTATTCATCACTGAATGAGCTGGCTTTCTCCGAGGAGTATTTTGGTGGCTCCTGTGTGTGGTACTGGGTGCTACAGGGTACAGGATCAGCGGTGGAGGAAGTAAAGTTTTGGGCTAGCTGTTTCTCATTATTTAAAAAGTCTCAAATTCTCTGATACTGTGACCCTCTACTTTCTGCAAATATAGCTCAGCTTTGAGGATCTTTCATGGCTCTGTCTATTCTGGTTTTTTCATCATTGGTCCAACAAGGCTTCTGCCAAGAGCAGCCCAGTCTTGAGTTTTACACCTGCCTTGCCAATAAGTCATCCAGCTCTTGCTCTTTCAAGTTCTCTTACCTCAGAAAGTAAATGTTGGGTGGTATTTTCTGAGATCTGTCACTAATACTTTTGTTCTGATTATTTTTCTTCTTTTCCTTTTTTCTTCTGCAGTTTCTGCCTAATCATAAGGGCTTTTGGCAATCCTTAAAATTTTCTAAAGTCTCAAAGTCATGCTTCCCAATTTTTCCTAAAATGGAATTTGTGGGGTTTTAAAGTTTTCCTCATACGGCCAGCCAGATAGCTTTAGTGGACTGAAGTGCACACTTAGGCAGGCACAGAGACGGGGATTAGATCCCAGGGTGCTGTGCCAGCCCCATCTCCAGGGGGCACTGAGATGGTGATTGAGACTGGGCGTAGTGGCACACACCTGTAATCCCAGAGTTGGGAGGCTGAAAACAGGAGGATCACTATGAGTCCGATCTGTGTAGTGAGACCCTATAGACCCTGTACTAACTACATAAAAAAAAGTATATATAGAAAAAATTTTCCTCATGACTTTGACTGCTTTTGGTTTCTAGAAGAAGTTGAAATTGTAAATTTTGGGCTGGTGAGATGGCTCAGTGGTCTAAAAGCACCTACTTAGAACAAGCTAAGCTAAGCAAAAGCACAGGGACTGCGGTTCAATCCCCAGCACCACATGCCAGCCAGCCCTGTCCCCTGGTGGGCTGAACTGGCCACACACACACACAAAATAAATAAATAAATTTTAAAAATAAATAAATAAATAAATAAATTTAAGCAGCCAAGTCAAAAAGATCGTTAAGATTTTAATTTTTTCTTCCTATTATCTTAAAAAATAACAGTTATGTTGTTTATTAAAATTGCGATCAAGCAGCTAAATAAAATGTTTCTGCATTAAAATTTAAAATTTAGTGTTAGAACTGGGTTAATGTCAATTATATAACTAATAAAATATCTTATCACTAACTCTAAGCCCTGGAAATAATATAATTTACTGTTGAAGATACAAAGTTGAAATTGAAGGGGCTGGTGAGATGGCTCAGTGGTCTAAAGCACCTACTTACAACAAGCTAAGCTAAGCAAAAAAGACAGCGACCGTGGTTCAATCCCCAGCACCACATGCCAGCCAGCCCGCCCCCTGGTGGGCTGAGCTGGCCACACACACACACACACACACACACACTAAATAAATAAATAAATAAATTTAAAATTTAAAAAAAAAAACAAAGTTGAAATTGCTTCAAATTTAAAATACCCCTTCCTTTCATATCTTATTCAAAACTGGAGATTGGCATTAGAAAGATGATTTAACTATGAATACATAGATTCTAGTTAAAACTGTACAAAAATGCAAAATCTTATAAACTGACAAAGTTAAGGTTAAGTGCTGATTTTCAAATTTCTTTCTGTACAAATATAAATTATTCAGTCTTTATAAAATGGCAATATGCCATCATGATTAAAGAAAAAATTATCATATAGACTGAAATATAAAAAAGTACACACTTACCCGACCAGAATCATAGAATCCATCACTAATTATGTCATTTGATGACAAATAGCCAGTCTGGCTGTATTTCAGGGAAAGGTTATTGTTGAGCAATTTGTTATAAGCTGCCTCACTGAATTTATTTTTTAGGCTAATTGATAGATTAATTTCCTCAAGGATATCCAAAGCCCTGTCAATAAAAGCAAAAAAGTTTTGTTTTATACAAGTGATCCACTGTTGAGTTCCCATCGATATACTTAAGATCTTAAATGAAGAACTGACATGGAGAGCTTAATGCCTCCTGCACTCATCTAGGTAAAGTAACCCTGATAGAATTATGAAGACAAGTCACCCTTTGGTGAGAACATACGTGCCTCATAATAACTCATATCCAAGCAGTTGTGAAGGAAACTGCTACGGTTTAGAAAGGGTCCTCCAAAGGCCCACGTGTTGAGAGCTTGGTTGCCAGCCTTTGGCACTATTAGGAGGTGGTGGTGGAACCTTTAAGAGGGTATCTAGCAAGAAGAAATAAGGCCACCAGGGGCACACCATTGAGGGGATATTGAGACCCTGCCCTTTCCACTCTCGGTGCTTCCTAACGTCTATGACATGAGCAGAGCTTACTTTAACATTTTGTCCTTGGGACAATGACAATGTACTGCCTACCATGATGGGAAAGCAGTGTGGCTGGCCAGCTGACCATGGACTGGAACCTCCACAACTGTGAGCCAAATAAATCTTTCCTCTTTGTAAGCTTGTAAGCTGATTTATTTCAGTACTTTGTTATAGCAATGGAAAGCTGACTAAGCAAACAGTTTTAGGAAAAATTCATTGTGTTGGAACAGACCCTAATAT